TGTATATACATATATGTATATTGTATATCCTATGTATATACAAAAAATGTGAAAAATATATAAAGCGCATATCCTATGTATGTGAAATAATTACCACATGTATGTACATAGGATGTCCATAGTACATACGTAGAAATATTCCAAAGATATGCAGTGTACATTCGTGGTATATACATGGGGTGTATTCCGAGGATGTGCAGTGCACGTTCGCAGTATGTACATAGAATATATTCCGAGGATGTGCAATACACATTCGTGGCATGTACGTGAGGTACATTCTATGTATGTACATAGTATATAATACAGTACGTTTCTTAATAATAAACAATTTTCATTTATTCGGATATTTATCTATCCAATTTTTGAACAATCAGTTTATCTAAATTTCCTGTGTTGGAATTCAGATATTAAACTGATAGGAAAAGTTATTACATCTTCAAATTGAAGACTTCAATATTATTACCCGCCTTTTGCAAGTTTTATATAGTTTTCATGATTAAAACTTAAATACGAGATAGATAGCGCATAATGCGTCACATAGCGTCAAGCAAACGAACTAATGACTGATTCTATGTATATCCATACGATATCCTATGTATATCCATAAATGTACCTACATCAGCGAATATCGTATGTATGTACGTTACATGTATTATATACACATGGAATGTACACGAGGTATATTCTACGTGGGTGTTTTTCAACAAGTTACACAGATGACACAGTGTGACACTGTGTCCAACACGAACTATTCCAACAGTGACACCATGTTACACTGCTCGACACAATAAAAAGCTAAGTACAAGCGTGTAAAATGTCCCAGTGTTACCAACATTTTAAGAAATCTTATAATTTTAAATGATGATAATACTTTTGATCATAACCTATAAATGTAATAATACAACGATACGAGAAAGCGAGAGTACAAGATTGAAAATTGTGAAGCTCTATCTCTATAGATTTAATCTCAATAGATCATATTTTGGAAGTTAATGGTAAAATAAAACATTAAAAAATACAATAAAAAATATGCAATATAAATTTTATTACTTATTATTATCAATAAACATTTGTTATATATTTTATTATATTTTTCAGAATTCACGTGCAAACATTGTAACAACGCAATTGCTTCATTGGATCATTTTGCTAACATTACTGCTTATTGAAGTATCACTATCACTACTTATCTCAGCAATTTCAGTCAAAGTAAATATAACCTTACGATTTATCATCTGCAATTCACATAAAAGTAAAATTAAAACAAAATTTAATCAAAATATATCCTCATTCAAAATTTGGTTAACTATAAAAATTAATTACAATAATTTTTTGTTGTTACAATAATGTCAATCTCTTCTAATTTCGTTGTTACAATAATTACAATAATGTCAATCTCTCCTAGTAATAAAAATGGAGAACTATAATGCCCTCTACTGAAATTTTCAGAAATTAAATTTACACTTTATCGTTCCAACAAAAGTTTCACACGGTGTAACACAGTGCAATTTAGCGTGTTCTAGTTGGAAAACACCCTGTATGTACAGGCAGCGATCTCGTTCAAATATGCATTTTATGTATATCCATAAATGTACCTACATCAGCGTATATCGTATATATGTATATTATATGCAAGGTTGAAAAGTAACGCGTTACTTGTAACGCCGTTACCGTTACAATTACTTTTTTTCGGTAACTGTAACGGTAACGGCGTTACAAATTTTTTTTGTAACAAAAAAAGTAACTTTGTTATATTTTTCGGTAACAAGTAACGAATTTAACAATTATTTTTATCGTTACATTTTCAAATTTACTCTATATATCTATGAATTTATAGAAAAACTAACAATAAGAAAACTTTTTAATTTATATTTACAGCATCTAAAAATTTTTGAGAAAGCTGGTTTACAACTTATTTTAAAAATTTTTTTTAT